CGCCTGCCATTGCGCCCAGCTAATTTTTGTATTTTTAATAGAGATGGGGTTTCACCGTGTTAGCCAGGATGGTCTCGATCTCCTGACCTCATGATCCACCTGCCTCGGCCTCCCAAAGTGCTGGGATTACAGGCGTGAGCCACCATGCCCAGCCCGAGGAGGTAAATTAAGTCCGCATGTGTATATTTGGGTTTAATCCAGGCGAAGGTGATTCTTGAGAAAGGGAATAGGGAATGTGCAGGGGAATAAAAGCAGAGTCTTCAGGACGAAATCTTGAGTGATGCCAGTGGCTAAAGGGCCATGAAAAGAGTAATAAACTGCAGATGATAGATAGAAAAACTGTGTCATCTCTCATTTGAGAGATGAGAAGAAAGACCAGTCTTACGGGAAACTGACAGGGAGAAGATTCCCAAAGTGCTGGCAATTATAGGTGCGAGCCACTGTGCCCGGCCCAGTATGAAAATTCTAAAAAAGATATGGTCAGGAAAGGAGCAAAGGTTTCAAACAGCTCTTGGAAGCTCTTTCATATGTTGTATGATTATTTATTTGTTTATTTATTTTTTTGAGACACAGTTTCACTCTGTCGCCCAGGCTGGAGTGCAGTGGCGCAACCTCGGTTTACTGCAACCTTCACCTCCCAGTTCAAGTGATTCTTGTGCCTCGGCCTCCTGAGTAGCTGGGATTATAGGCACATGCCACCACTCCTGGCTAATTTTTGTGTATTTGACAAAGATGGGGTTTCATCATGTTGGCCAGGCTGGTCTCGGAACTCCTGACCTCAGGTGATCTGCCCACCTCAGCCTCCCAAAGTGCTGGTGTGAGCCACCGTGCCCAGCCATCATGTCTTGTATGAGGTATTATCCATGTTATAGCAATTGACTTGCACCTTGACGTCATCTCTTTCTAAAGGCTAAAGCTATGTTTCAGATATATATATGTAAAATACTTTGAGGCATGGTCTTGCTCTGTCACACGATTACTGCTCGTCAATGCCTTGACCTCCCAGGCTCAAACTGTACCTCCACCCCAGCCTCCTGAGTAGCTAGTACTACAGGCATGTGTCACCATGCGTAGCTAATTTTTGTATTTTTTGTGGAGATGGGGTTTCTCCATGTTGTTTAGGCTGGTCTTAAAATTCTGGGCTCAAGCCATCTGCCCATCTTGGCCTCCCAAAGTGCTGGGATTACAGGTGTGAGCCGTCATGCCTATCCCTCACCTTGCTTTTTTCACTTGTGTGTTCTTAAGGGATATGGATAGTGCTTCATGGGGTGCTTTAAATTATTGAGTGGCCCTGTAGTCCCAGCACTTCGGGAGGCCGAGGCGGGCAGATCACGAGGTCAGAAGTTCGAGACCAGCCTGACCAACATGATGAAACCCTGTCTCTACTAAAAATACAAAAATTAGCCAGGCGTGGTGGCGCATGCCTATAATCCCACCTACTCAGGAGGCTGAGGCAGGAGAATCACTTGGACTCGGGAGGTGGAGGTTACAGTGAGCTGAGATTGTGCCACTGTACTCCAGCCTGCGCAACAGAGTGAGACTCCATCTTAAAAAAAACAAAAAATTGAGTGGCAAGGAAGCTTAAGGCAGTTGTGTAATATTTTGGATATTGAGGAGATCACGTTCTTGGTTTTATTAGATTATGATGAAGATGACTATGATGCTGATTGTGAAGACATTGATTGCAAGTTGATGCCTCCTCCACCTCCACCCCCGGGACCAATGAAGAAGGATAAGGACCAGGATGCTGTTACTGGTGGTAAGTAGAGATTGTCTACTTTTGTGTTAGGAGCAAGTTTCCATTCATAAGTCCAGTCTTGTGGCTCACACATAAGGGACAAACTTAAGCTTATACGAAAGGACAAAACTTCTAGAAATAATTCATACAATCTCAAATTTTTGTATTAAAGGGAAGTTTTAAAACATTTGGCCACAGTATTTTAACGTGCTCAATATATAGTAGTTTAGTCAGTGGTTCTCAAATCTGGTTACCCATCAGAATCACTTAGAGTCTTTAAAAAAAAAGCAAAAAAACACCAATACCTGACTTTCACCCCTTGAACCTGATTCAGAAGATCTTGGGTAGAGTCCAGGAATTAAATTAAATTAATTAATTTTTTTTTTTTTGAGAAAGAGTCTTGCTGTGTTGCCCAGGTTGGAGTGCAGTAGCACGATCTTGGCTCACTGCAACCTCTGCCTCCCGAGTTCAAGTAATTCTTGTGCCTCAGCCTCTAGAGTAGGGGCTGGAACTCCTGACCTCAAGTGATCCTCTTGCCTTGGCCTTCCAAAGTGCTGGGATTACAGGTGTGATCCACTGCGCCCTGCCAAACCCAAGAATTTTAAAGAGTTTCTTAAGTAATTTATGATACAACTGATCTGTATACTGGTATTTAGAAACTACTTGTTTAGATGGCTTTATTTTCAGTGAAGTGGTTAAATAAGGAAGGTGCCCTGGAATGTTGATAAATCAGATAGTGTCAACTACCAGATATTCAGAGATTTCAAAGGCTGGTAGAGTCTTCAGTGTTTATCTTACCTATTCCTGTAACAGTAACTGTCCTAGGCTTGAAAATTGGGGAAGAGCAGTGTGTTTGATTGACCTGTATGTTGAGGCTTGCATTTACCTAAATTCTTCCTGTTGGAGTTTTAAGCCATTTCTTTTTAACAGTCTGCTAAATGTCAGCTATTTCATAGATCTTCTTTATGCCAAAGGATCTTAATGTTGTCCTGTGGGCTTAAAAAGATTTTCCAGCTCATAGGTCTCTGAACTAGGACTACCTGAGTGGTATAAAGTATTACATAATTTTGCTATTGGTCACAACATTGGTTACAATATTGGTTACTTAACAGAAAGTAGGGCCAGGCGTGGTGGCTCACACCTGTAATCCAAGCGCTTTGCGAGGTGGAGACGGGCAGATCATTTGAGGTCAGGAGTTCGAGACCAGCCTGGCCAAGACGGTGAAACCCCGTCTCTACTAAAAATACAAGAATTTAGCCAGCCGTGGTGGCGCATGACCGTAATCCCAGCTACTCAGGAGGCTGAGGCAGGAGAATCACTTGAACCTGGGAGATAGAGGTTTCAGTGAGCTGAGATCTCACCAGTGCACTCCAGCCTCTGCGACAGAGCAAGACTCGTCTCAAAAAAAAAAACACCGAAAGTAGTAAACCTAGTAATAGTGTTTGTTTTCTCATCACAACCCTAGGGTACCAGGTACGTGGTGAGTTGGGGGATGATGGGAGATAACGAGTTAGAAGAGTTTTCTGGGTTGCATACTAGTATTATGATTTGGGTGCTTGGGCCTATATCCTGGCATTGAGCCATGTGTATAGCCTAAAGTGGGTGTTTGCGGAATTCGAGGAAATATATTCACAGTTACATGCCAAAGGGGTTTCTCTTCCTTGTTGCAGTGTCTGAAAATGGGGAAGGCATCATCTTGCCCTCCATCATTGCCCCTTCCTCTTTGGCCTCAGAGAAAGTGGACTTCAGTAGTTCCTCTGACTCAGAATCTGAGATGGGATCTCAGGAAGCAACACAGGCAGAATCTGAGGATGGAAAGCTGACCCTTCCATTGGCTGGGATTATGCAACATGATGCCACCAAGCTGTTGCCAAGTGTCACAGAACTTTTTCCAGAATTTCGACCTGGAAAGGTACATTGTATGGAGAATGCCCAGATTGCAAACCACCGACCTCTTCCAAATAATGAGTTTCGTTGTTAAGATGCTGAGTATGGAATAGACCTAAGGGTTTCCTTACTCAGTGACATACTATTGGCTACGTAAGAGTTCTTCACACTGTATTAGGTCTTTTTTTTGAAGTTGTATATATTGATAGTAAATGTGATTTATGCTGTTCTCATTGGAAATTTCCCTGTTACCTTAAAAGAACTAGTCCAAATTATTAAGGAACGCTTCTTTACTTTCTTGTTAGATGTTGTAAGTCTGAATGCAACACTTCTTTATTTCTCCTCCGCATTTGAATAGATCTCTCAAGGGCGTTTTCAGGCCCAGATGCTGCTGTTTTCCTATCTGACTTTGAGTCTCTGTCATAGTAATGTATTCTGTGTTCTAGGTGTTACGCTTCCTACGTCTTTTTGGACCAGGGAAGAATGTCCCATCTGTTTGGCGGAGTGCTCGGAGAAAGAGGAAGAAGAAGCACCGTGAGCTGATACAAGAAGAGCAGATCCAGGAGGTGGAATGCTCAGTGGAATCAGAAGTCAGCCAGAAGTCTTTGTGGAACTACGACTACGCTCCACCACCACCTCCGGAGCAGTGTCTCTCTGATGATGAAGTAGGCAAAATGAAGACCTGAGATTAAGGCTTATGAGAGGAACAAATGAATTCAATGAATTCTCTCTAGTTTATGTTTAAATTGTAAATAACACCATAGCAGATAGAATTCTGTGCTAATTCTCAATAAGTAATCATGGGTTCAATCTCAGCGGCTGCCCCTTCCCTATTGTAAAAGAAAAATGTTTGATGGGGTAGGCGGGGATGAGAGGGGTAGATGGTGATATGCTGCTGAGTAAGGTTTGATCGATAGGCGGAATGTGCTATGATACATCTCCATTGTTTACATTCTAACTCCAGGTAAATCATCCTCAGTTTGTCTAAGTTCCCCTCCTGACTGTTAACTCTCTATAGCCTTAGGACAGCTGGGATCAGGAAATTCTCCCTGCTCTACTTCTTTTTTCTGTTACAGATCACAATGATGGCTCCTGTGGAGTCCAAATTTTCCCAATCAACTGGAGATATAGATAAAGTGACAGATACCAAGCCAAGAGTGGCTGAGTGGCGTTATGGGCCTGCCCGACTGTGGTACGATATGCTGGGTGTCCCTGAAGATGGCAGTGGGTTTGACTATGGCTTCAAACTGAGAAAGACAGAACATGAACCTGTGATAAAATCTAGAATGATAGAGGTGAGCAACACTGGTATGTAAGAAAGGAATCAGTGTACTCAGGTCCTATTACTTTTACTAACTTTACTTTTTAATTTGGGAGATATTGGGTGGGGTTTCTTTAATGGGAGATTGAGGTGTCTCAGCCTTTTATTTGGTATGGTATATCACCCTGGTAGCTAGGTCCTATACTAAGGATGCTGTTTGTGAAGTGAGTGCTGTGCCAGACTAGGAGTGGGAAGAGGCAAATATTCCTCTGTTATCAAGTGGTTGTTTCAAGTAAAGGACCACTTACGATGTGTCTGTATCTCTAATGTGGAATTTGGAGTGTAAACTTTGACCAGTGACCAATCAAGGGTGTGTTTTTTCTTCCCTACTTACCCAGGAATTTAGGAAACTTGAGGAAAACAATGGCACTGATCTTCTGGCTGATGAAAACTTCCTGATGGTGACACAGCTGCATTGGGAGGATGATATCATCTGGGATGGGGAGGATGTCAAACACAAAGGGACAAAACCTCAGCGTGCAAGCCTAGCAGGCTGGCTTCCTTCTAGCATGACTAGGAATGCGATGGCTTACAATGTTCAGCAAGGTGTGCCTCTGTGCTAGCTGTGTCCAGCATATACTGCCCTTAATCTTAGTCACCATAAGTGGGCTTAG